CGTTGAAAGTTCAATAGAAAAAAATCCTAAATATTTCTGGTCATATGTTAAACGTAAATCAAAAACTCACTCTATTCCCAGTAGTCTCAATTTAGGTAGTGTAATCTACAACACAGGTCAGTCTATTAGTGACGCGTTTGCAACTTATTTCAAGTCAAATTTTTATATCAGGGTGCTCAATCAACTCTTCCAAATATTTCTAATGTGACATCAACATCAACCGCAAATATTTCAAAAATAGAAGTTAACCCTAAATACGTATGTCGGTTGTTGAAAGCTCTTGATCCATCTAGATCTGCTGGACCTGATAACCTACCAGCCATTTTTCTTATTAATTGTGCGAGACGATAGCACTACCAATAAGTTTGCTATTTCGTAAATCGTTGGATGAATGCTCAGTTCCTAATATTTGGAAACGTGCATATATCACCCCTGTGCACAAGAAGGGTCTTAGGACTGATGTCACTAATTATAGGCCAATTTCTAAGTTGTGCATTATTTCCAAAGTCTTTGAAAAGTTCGTTTATGAGCAGGTGTATCCGTTACTCAAACAAAGCATAAGCCAGTCTCAACATGGTTTCTTCAAGGGTAGATCCACCGTTTCCAACTTGGTGCTTTTTAATTCATTCTTGACTAAAGCCATGGATGATGGTCATCAAGTTGACGTTGTTTATACAGATTATAGTAAAGCTTTCGACCGGATTGAACATAATTTGCTTTTAAAAAAACTTCAGTATGTTGGTATCTGTGGAGACCTACTGCGGTGGTTTTCCTCTTATATAAGACAATCGCTCGCAAGCTGTAGTTGTTAACAATTATATATCAGGTTGGGTGTCAATACCAAGTGGCGTACCACAGGGGTCCTTACTGAGACCGTTGCTATTTCTGATATTTGTTAACGATATTGAAACCTGTTTTAGATCATCACACCTGCTGTGTTTTGCTGATGATATGAAAATATTTTCCACAATCTCATCGCAGGCTGATGCTGAATTAATGCAGGAAGATCTACTAAGATTGGAGGAATACTGTACTATTAATAAGCTTGAACTAAATCCGTCAAAATGTACCCTCATTACATATTCACGCAAGCGAAACTTAATTCATTTCGGCTATCACCTTAAAGGTCAGAAGCTACAAAAACAATCAGTTGTACGTGATCTAGGGATTTTCTACGACTCTAAGTTATTATTCAACAACCATGTTGACAATATCATAGCTAGGGCATCTAAGGCGTTAGGTTTTGTCATGCTTACTGCTAAGGAGTTTAATAACATTAAAACAATTAAAATATTGTGCTGCACTTACGTCCGCAGTACGCTTGAATACGCTTCGCAAGTCTGGAATCCAATGTATGATACATACATTTCACGGATTGAAAGTATTCAACGTAAATTCATACGATATCTTTGCTATCGTACCCATAGAAAATACCGTTCAGAAGACTATATATCCTTATGCAAACAACATCATCTGTTACCTTTGATAAAGCGTCGGGAGATTGCTGACATTGTATTTTGATTAAAAATTTGTTCTGGCAATGTTGACTGCTTAATCTGCTATCGCAAATATCACTGAGAACACCTACGGTTAACCTTAGAATGAATGCATTACTCTACGTACCAGCTTCATCAACTAATTACGGAAAAAATACTTTCTTATATCGGTCTAGTAATATTTTTAATAATCTGTGCAAAAAGCATGATTTTGATTTCTTTAATACTAGCTATATATCGGCAAGGCGGGCATTAAGTCGAGATTTTTTTTTGTCGTAATTTAATTTACTTTAAGAACAATTATGTTGTGCGTTTACCCTGCTTTTATTTTCCTTTATGGCTATTATTATTGGTTTCACTTATTAAATGTATGATGTTGTGCATTTAAATTAGACTCCATTTGTTGCTCATATTTGTGCTATGACCTTTAAACGACGAAAGATTATGTTAGTGTATTTCTATTAGTGAGAACCTGTTATTGGCTTCTTGTAAATTTAACATGTTGTTTATTTAAGATTTGTAAGCTGTTGGTTTTCCATTACATAAAAATAAAATAATAAATAAAAATCTCTTCTAACAGAATAATATAATGACATAATAGATTTGTGAATATTATTATAGCATGTGATATTATGTATATAAATAATTTTAATAAAATATTAGTTAACAAATATAAGTAATTTTATATTTCTCTCTTTGTAAATTATTAATAAATAATTCTAAACGCAACCTAAATATAAATTTTACGACTATGTCTACTATTACACTTTGCCCATTCTTGGGGAAATCGTCATTTACTTGCATACATTACTCATTTGCTTGTGTGCGTGCAAACGTAATTACAGGCCGCTTATGCACACATTCATTGTGTTGTTGCTTCAACTTTGAACGGAATTTTGAATGACACTATCACTCTAAGTCCAATTACTCTATGGCTAAAATAATGATGTAATATATTTTATAATGTGTCTTAATTTAATAAAGTAAAAGTATTAAAAACAACAGCTTTGCGCTTCGGGTTTTTCCATAGACATAGAAAGATTGGACTGAGCGTCACTCTCACAAAAGTGACCATTTTTTACAAAAAGACAAAGCGACTATGTGGCTTATACCTGTCTCTATGACATGATTGTTCTTACAGTTGTACATGCAGCGGAGAACAATACACTCCTGACCGCCAGTGACGTGGAACAGAATTCTAGAAAGAGATAACTACTGGCCGTACACTCGCTTTATCTCTCTCGTACTTTTCGGCCTGTACTCACTGCACAAATTAATACGGAATGCACGATCCATTCCCTCTGTCTATGGGTTTTCCCCATATGATAACTAGTAATGTGCATGATTTCTTTCGTAATAATAATAATACAGTTATAGTACTAAAAGTTAAGATCCTAACACAAATGGATCAATATCTTGAATAGCTTTTTTTATAAGTACGTATTAAAGGTAAATACGGTTAACATACCTACTTTTCAGATTTCCAAAAAGCCGAGAATTGGCAAATAAATGGGCGGTAGTGATAAAAAAGCCTAAATGGGAACCCAACCTCAGGAGTTTTGTGTATTTCGTAAACTTTTGAAAGTAAGGGTAGACTACGCAAACTGGTTACGGGTGCAATCATTTCATCAATACAGCCCTTACAAGTCCACTGCTGAACAGAGGCCTCCCTAAAGGAATGTCACAAGGCAAGGTCCTCAGCCACCTGCATCCATCGACTTCCTGCATGTTTTACCAGGTTATCACTCCATCTAGTAGGGTAAGCCCTACACTTCGCCTGCCTGTACGAGGTTGCCTTTCGAGAAACTTTCTTCCCCACCTATTATCGGTACTTCGAGCTATATGACCGGCCCATTGCCACTTCAGCTTATAAATCCGTTGAGGTAATTCTACGTCTACTACGTCGGTAATTCTGGTTCTACTGCGGATATCCTCGTATTAAAATCTATCACGTAGAGAAACCCCAAGTATAGCCCTCTCCATAGTTTGCTGAGTGACCGTGAGTTTCGTTGTATGGCCAGCATTGTCGGACCACGTCTCAGAACCATAGGTCATCAATGGCAACATGCAATGGGTTACAATCTAATTTTGAAGTTTCAATGCAAGCCTGACGAAAAGATGTGTCATAATTTCCGGTCGAAGTTGGCCTTACCAAGTCTGACTTTTTGTCCCGAATAAACATATTCGTCGACAACTTCAGGCTAAGTGCTCCCAACAAATACCGGCGTAAGTGTGACATGGACGTTACACATGACTTTTATTTTGTCCATGTTCATCTTAAGTTTCTATTTAGGTGCGCTAGTACTTGTTATTAGTTAGTTTGTGGTGCTTAGGTCCTCAAATAGGTCGGCAAATCGAAGGTACTCAATGTACTCGCCTTCGATTTGCAGACATATTTGATGTTGATACCGTTTCCTTACCAGCCCAGTAGCTTGAAAACGTATTCAATGCAACTGTGAAGAGTTTCTGGGATATTACGTCACCCTGTCTTACACCTCTCTCCAGTTGGATAGGTTTCGTACTCTGGTTTTGTACTCGCGCATAGCAATCGTAGCCCTACTGTACGAACACTACTAGTAGCCATAGCGTTATTCCTCTATGCAAAAGTGTAAGTCATATTTTACGTGGCGAAATCTGCGGACGTAATAAAAGTCTGTCACTACAAAACTCACACATAACATTAGGTCAATAAACTAACAATTTCATACACACATACATACATTATGACAGTATCGCTGAGTAATGGTGACAACTCAGATGCAGACTTGTATCAATTGCACAACCGATCTCCATATTGTATGAGGACCAGCGGCCAACGTTACGGTATTGACATAATTTTTAAGTTTAAAAAGAAGTAAATAGCAATATATGATTGGCACTTTCTTCTTGTATATGAAAGACAATGGCATTTTTTTGTAAATTTGACCTCGCAGACCAGCTATTTGCAGCAAAAATTTGAACAATTCGGCATCTTTGTAGTAAGTCCATTCAACCGCGCAAATAGATTTAGCCTAATGAGTAGTACGACTGCAACTAATTTAATTGTACACACATTACCGCGTGGACTAACACTTTGATAGAAGGAAACGCCTGCGTATGGGCACTCTCCATCGATCCGGCGGTGGCTCGTGTGCGCTATGAGTGGAAACGATGAAACAAGTACTTTGATGGTGGTATGTAAGTAAGTAATTTGGTCCGGTGCTTGGTACCTTAAAACATTATCTTCTTATCCCAAAATCTTCAAGCAAAATGTATACATATTTCATACATTTAATCTACTACTTAGAATTTGTTCCTTTTGGCTGAAAGCTTTTTAGCTAATGCCAAAAAAAAAACATTGACAATGATAATTATGTGTACGCGTGTGGGAGGAGGGAGGGAGTGTTATCTTCCCGCCAATAAGCTGTCAAAATAGGTCGAATTCGGGAAAAGTTTATGTTTAACATTTATTTTTTATGTTTTTCTATTTAAAATTACTGTTGTAATATATTATAATACACTAAAATGTCGATACAAGAAGAAGGTGAAGATAATTGGATAGCTGCATTGGACAATCTGTGTTCTCAGTTAAATGTAGACCCAGATGCAGCAAAGAAATCGAAGGAATCATTTTTAGAAATCAAACGCAACTATACTTTAGATGTAAGTGTACTTACGACACTTGAAAGATGAGTATCAAATAAATATTAGTAATCAAATTATTGTATATCAACCTCATAAAATATTGTTCAAAACGTTAAGTGTTACGTGCATATCGTTTATCTGGCTATCTTTAATTGATCGAAACTAAAATTATTTTATAATTTAATTTAGGGTGATATCCAGCATTGGATGGCTTGTGCTTTATATGTGGCATGTCGGACGTCAATTACACCAACAGTACAGTCAGGCAAGGTTGTAGAAGGCAACTGCGTCAGTCTTACTCGTCTCCTTAGGCTCTGCAATATAAGGTAAAATACAATATATTTTACTTCTTTCTTCTTTTTCTACATTAGATTAGAAATACTCCTTTTTAATCTAATCCTTTGTTGTGTAATCATGTTTTTTTTTACTATTTACAGTCTTATTCAATTTTTTAATAAAATTAAAAACTGGATGGAAATGGCATTAATGTCAACGGATTTTAAAGATAGAATTACACGCTTAGAGCATAAGTTTGCAGTTTCAACTGTTCTCTTCCGAAAATTCCAACCTATTTTTCAAGAAATATTTTCTGGTTTAACTAATGAACCACTGAAGTGCAATACAAAAAGCAAAAAACACAAGTAAGTTTTAATATACATTGAGTAAAAATAGTTTTTAGTTATCATCGGCACTGCTCTCACTTATCAAAATAGGTTCAAAATATCTTATAATAAATATAATTTCTAAGTACTTGAACAGTTACTCTTAAATATGATATTTATCAAAACAACATACTATATTGTGTACTATTAACAAACAGTTAAAAACCGTTATCTTAATTCTAATATTGTTAATTCTGATAACTATTACTCATCAATATTTTAACAGTAGTTTAAGAGAATTCTTATAAAATTTAATCACACCGAAAACGTAAATAGTGAAAGAACTATAATAATTAAATGACAAAAATAGTTTCAGGTACAGTACTTGGAACTAAGTACATCATAAATATATGCCTAATAATTACTTCGAAGTGGCCTAGGTTTTCAATGAGTGAATCAGTGAGTTAGTTATATAATAGGTACTTTTCAGAGCTTAATAACTCCAGAATTATTTTGGGTTTATTCATGAAATTTGTGATTCTAGTAATCAAGGAGGCATTGTTAGATATACAAATTACTGTTTAATATGTCTTATAGTTATTGAGTTATAATGGGTTTGAAAGTAGATCTAGTTGGTGTAAATTTACACACTGCCTTGTATCATCACCCTTTTCTTTTCCAAACTATGCTGGCACACTGCCATTTGTCTTGATATAAATTTCATATCTATTTTCTTATTGCAGATTACAACCATGTACAACAAATGCACTGTTTGAATTTACATGGTGTCTATATGTGTGTGTTAAAGGGGAATTTCACAATTCTGCTGATGACCTGGTAGACATGTATCATGTATTATTGTCGTGTTTAGACTTTGTGTTTGCAAATGCTTTCATGTCTAGACGCATTGACTTAATAAACCCTGCTTTTAAAGGTAAATACTTCATAAAAATCTCTGCAGGTCTAAAGTATGTAGTTAAACTGTGATTTTGTAGTTAAGACATATAAGTGGTTAAGCATTTCACTGTGAATCATATTAGTATTTATATGGCCTGCTAATAACAGCTCTGGGTTTTAATGTTTTTTTTTTTTTTTTTTTCTTCGGGGTGCGGGGTGGGGTGGTGTGTTTGGTCCGGTTGTGTTAGTTGATACATTTGTGCTGCAACTTGTACAATGTGTATTAATATAGATACACTCTGATGGCCTCTGGCCTAGTGGCTGTTAATAGGACTGCCAACTATGATCATCCTGGATCCGGATCCAGGTTAAAATCACTTACTGAGTTTTTATGTCAAGAAATTTTCAGTGGCAGCCCAGAGTTAGGAGTGGGCAGTGTTTTATTAACATGCCTTGAAAAGTATGTAATAATGGTTTTGATCCTGTGTCTGATCTCTGTATGTTTGTGTTAGATTACTATTCCATGGGATTATAAGAGTAAGGGTAGAGAGTGCATCTGTACTTGCTCACACACTCATGCACTGTTATCCTGTTCTGCACATATGGCTAGTCTCAGTTGAAAATGGTCACTGTGATCGTAAATTGATTAAGGGGACATTATTATTATTAATGGGGTATTTTTATAGTTTTCTCATCTGGTAGAGCCGTGGTAGCTCAGTGGTTAACGCTAGCTGTAAATATAACAGAACGCAAGTAACCCGGGTTCGATCCCCGCCGGCACCAATGAGATTGTTAATTGCAATTTTAAGTGCTGATTTACCATGTGCTCGGCGGTGAAGGAAAAACATCGTGAGGAAACCTGCATGTCTGAGGAATAAGAAAAAAAAATATTTTCGAACACGTGAAGTTCGTCAACACGCATTTGGGCAGCGCGGCGGACATTTCCTTGCCCTAAACCCTCTCAGAAATGAGGGGAGGCCTGAGCCCAGCAGTGGGACGTATATAGGCTGTAACTTTACTTTTTTTACTTTTTTTTCTCATCTGGTTGGGATACATAATATTTATAAATATATAATAAATAGGTCAGGGAAAAAGTTTCTTCGTATTTGTTTTGTATAAAATTGAAGAAAAATCTCTTTGTTTGTACTATTAATGTATCTAGCTGCTATTATTATTAATACATATAGGACATAAAAAAAATAAAAGGTATAAAACGCTTTCCAAATAGAGGGTTAACCACAATACAATTTTGACTACAAAATTCGGTTTAGTCCGATTTGTAGAAGTCTGGCTATACAAAAAAGCTCAATATTTGAATACCACACAAGCTCTGAAAGAAATGTAATGAATCACGTACTCATTTGCAATTCTCTATTGAAACATAACGAAACCGAACCATTTTTTAAAAGATTGATCACTGGTTACAAGAATGTGCGAAAAATATAATGGTTAAAGAGCAGCTAAGCTCCACAGACTGTATTGAAACCTAGATTAACATGCTATAAGGTGATACTGTGTATATTGTGGAATTAGAAGGTTATCGTTTATTATGAGCTTACTAATGCTAACTAATGAGGCTTAAGCAAGAAATTGAGAAAAAAAATCAGATTTGACAACTGAAAAGGATTGGTCCTTCATTATGATAATGCCAGACCACACACATATTTGGCCACTCCGCAAACATTGAGTAAGCTCAGTTTGGAAGTGTTAATACATCCACCATATAGTCCTAACCTTGCACCCTCCGATTTTCACCTGTTTCAGTCTCATCAGAATTCTTTGGGTAGTGTTAGGTTAATATCAAGAGAGGACTGTCAAAACTACTTGTCTTTTTTTTGATCAATAATCCCAAGATTTCTACAGCAACGGGATCATGTCACTACCTACAAGACAGCAGCAAGTTATTTAATAAAATGGCACATATATTATAATTAAATGCAATATATTTAATTGAAAAAATGTCTTGAATTGGTATATAAAATAAGAAGAAACTTTCCCCCAAGCTTATATAAACACATACTATTGTTGTGTATTGTTAATGACAAGGGTAAAATTGTAATATGTGTGGAAGGTAGATTTAATTAAATGTGTTTGTTTTGTAATTTAATCTGGCATAAACCTTTTAATAACGCAGATAATATGTAGCTCTACTATTTATTGAAACAGCTAACATAAATTTATGTTTAAAATATTTTATTATATGTTTAGAGAGAAAAATGAGTACATTTATTCTGGTTTCTAACATTACTTTTAGCATCAAAAACATCACTTAATTTTTTTTTAAATTGTAATATATTAATTTAAAGGATTACCTCCCAACTGGCTAGCAGATGACTTTGAATTGCCTAAGAAGGCTCCATGCATTATATCTGTACTATGTGAAATCAAAGAAGGATTATCAGTTGAAGCAGCAACAATGAAAGAATACAGCTGGAGGCCTGTTATTAAATCATTTTTTGACAAAGGAGTAAGTTTATTTAATAAAATAGTCCTAACTTAAAACATAACCTTTTTTTGGTTTTTAAATTCAGTACAGGTTATTGTAGGGTGTGAGACATGGTAGCTTAAGAGCTAAGCTCTCATCATAAATATAGTATGTGAGTAACATAAGTTCAATCAGTTTTTTAGTGCTAATTTACCACATGATCGTCAGTGAAAGAAACATTGTGAGGAAACCTGCATGTTTGAGACATGTGAAGTCCGCATACATGCATTGGGACACTGTGACCACTTCCTTGTCCTAAAACCCTCTCAAAAATAAGAGGAGCTCTGTTCCTAGAAGTGGAGCGTAAATAGGCTTTAACTTTACTCTTTACCTTTTATTGTACTAGTATTTTTTTTTATTTGAAGAGCTTAATCAAAATGTGATTATGTCGCTCTATTCGACAACATTATGAATTCGCAGGAATACTCACATTCTCTCCGCGTTGTATAGTGTGCTGTTTAATCCTTCTACTCCTCTTTATTTAAAAAACTGTTTCCAGTATCTTTCTCTTACCCATAATCGGTTCCTTCGATCCTCCATCAATCTTTCTCTCTCTACACCTTTGCACTCTTCTTCCTTTTTCAAGAAATCCTTCACCGTAACCGCTGTGCATTGTGGAACTCCTTACCTCTCCATATTCGTCGTGCTAAATCTCTTCACTTTTTCAAAATTCTTGTTAAATCGTATTATTTAGAACGCTATTAGATAAATTACTTTACCTTTCTCTTACTCTTTTCATTTAATCTATTATATGATATTTTATATATAACTTTCACTTACTTTTATTTGTATGTATTGTTGTATTTTTTTTTTATTATTTTGTATGCCCCCCCCTCTATTTGTAACTTTTGTTTGCATCATTACTCTACGCAAAGGTTGTCTGGAAGTAATCACTTTCAGTGATAAGACCGCCTATTGTACATACTTTAATTAGTTGTAACTATATTTATGTTTCTGTATTGTGGTGTACAAAAAAGGATAAATAAATAAATAAATATGAACTAAATAATATTCAATTAAACAAGCAAACAAAAAGAAAAAAATGCATCTAGTTGACTGATCTCAGGAGAATACTGTGTTATAGAATTTAACCAATAATTATGTTTCATCCGAATGAGGATAGGCTAAAATAATATTACAGTAAGCAACTAGTATAAAATTATAAAATATCACCAGCCTAAGTTATTATCGTTCTCTATATTTGTCTCTTTCTAATGTCATTGAGTGAAAAGAGAGAGAGCAACTTTAAGTATTTCTTACCGTCCTTGATGCCGATTTTTAAAAATAAGGCCTTAGACATACAACGTTGCAGATACTGTTTTTGCAGTTACCTAAATAGGAAATTTTGAATATTCTTCTGCTTATTTATTAAATAAATAACAATTAGCAATGTAAATCTTTTAATTAAATTAGTTTTTTCTTGATCACAAAATACATATTACTTTTAGATTGTTTTAGGTTGCAAGTTTCTTACTTTATGTATAATATTTAAAATATTTTTGACTTCAGATTTTAAAAGGAAATTCTGATCAACTGACTGGTTTATTGGACATTGGAAATTTCGATGTGAATCTGAAATCATTAAATAATCTTTATGAGACTTATGTCCTTAGTGTTGGTGAATTTGATGAGAGGATATTTTTAGGTATGATTTAGCTTTAAAGAGATTTTATAAAATACTTATTTCTAAATGTAAAGAAAAAACTGTCATTTTTGACATTGAAGTCATCCTTCAATGTAAAATGTCGACATTTTTCAGTTTAAAACAATTATTATTTTATATCACAAATAATAAAGGTTACATTCAATATTTTCTTGATATTTTGTTTTATTTTGTTTTGCTAACATAAAAATATAATTTTGCAGGAGAACATGCTAATGAGCAAATTGGAACCAAAAAAGTTTCTGGTGATGAGATCACACAAGTTATAGCTAGTTTTGGACCAGTGAGTACTTATATTTTGATGATTATATAATATAACAATCTGCCCGGCTACACATGGGTGATTTCTGGATCTCGACAACAGTGCCATCTTCTGTGTCCAATTGGAATGGACTTAATCAACACACAAAATTCAAGGATCATAATCGGTCCAGCCATTAAGCAATCAGTCACATACCCATTTACAAAAGAATTATATAATATATAAAGATTATTAGTTGATGTGCTTAACCAATTTATATAGTAAATTTTTTTTATAGGATAGAGTGACAAACGAGCACACAGTCCACCTGATGGTAACTGGTTGCTGTGGCCCATAGACATCTACATCTATCCTCGATTACGAATCAAAATGCAGATATGTTGTCACCCATGAGGACTAAAATGGAATGCCTCGTTTCCAGTAAAAACGGTCTCCGGTTCTCTACACTCACCATACGAAACACAGCAGCATTAAGCTACTATTTCAATCTGGTATTCTGTGAGAGCTGAGAGCGTGGTCCTTCCCTGGTCGAGCTGACCCATTCGTGCTATAACTATACTTATAATATGTTATAATAATTTATTAATAAATGTATGAAGGCAATGTTATTTATATAATATTTATAATTATGTCTTTATTTTTTTCTTTATATTGTGTGTCGTTGGTTGATATTTCCTAATAGTATTCAAAATTTTGGCATTCTTTTAATTGGTCAATAGAACATAATTATCTTTATCATTACCCCTATCATTGTTTATAGAGTATCAATCCACTAGTACTACTGAACATATGGCCTGAACCACATGCATCCATCAACTCCTTACATTCCTCATCAGGTTGTTACTTCAACTGGTGTGAGAGGTCACCTAACACTGCAGTTGCCTTTACCTATAAGGCATATCGATCGATATGTCACTCGAGATTTTTTTTCCATGTTGTCAATTTTCGAGCGATATTTTTCGGACCTTTGCCACTTCAGCTTTTAGATTCTACATTAAGGATTATACATCATGCAGCACAAACACCTTTCTGTAGGTTGCTAAGTTAATTTGAGTTTCCGCAGCATCTACATCATCATATAGTAGTAATATTGACGTATTATTTAATTTGCAGAGCGGCCGTGCCTGCCCGGACACTCCTCTAACGGGGCGATGTTACCTTGCGGGGCGGGAAGAACTTACACCTGTATCCGAAGCTACGAATAGTCTAGCGCGCTTAGCGTCGTATTTGCGAAACGCCAAGCCGTATCCGTCTGCCCCTTTAATGAGGCTCTTTGCGTAAGTTTTTAAGTCGTGTTTCGGTGTAATTTATCTTGTAAGTTCTCCTTGCATAGTTAAACTTTGAACCTTGCCTAGTCATCTTTTGCCGCATATGAAAAAGCTTTCGTGTTTTTGGAACCCACCTCATCTGTGGGCATATGGACTTTGCAACTGACCAAATTATTAAAGAGATTTATATGGGCTTATTAATTTGGTTTTCAACAAAATTTAATGATAGGTGCATGAAAAGGCATCTAAATACTTTTTAGTAATTTTGCTCGTTAAAGTTGTATACTTTATTACAATTACTGTTTAGTAATTGCAATTTACTTAAAACTATTTTGTACAACATAAATGTTATTGGTTGTCTTTGAGTAACAAAGTTATGATTGGCACCAAGTGAAACTGATTCAAAATTATTATTAGACATTGGACACAAAAGCAGTTTTGTGACATTTTAAAGTTTTAAATGTCAGACAATTTGAGATACACTAAGTTTAAATTTCAGGTCTCCAAATATATAATACAGAAGATTTTACCCATTCTGCAGAAAGAAGTAAAAGTCTACGCTTATTTTTCGTATCTATTAAAATTATAAAAACTGAATTGCCAATTTTTTTGTTTGATTTTCGTCATTATTATAATAACTTAAAATGAAATTGTTCATTTTGTAGTGAATGTGGTGTCAATGAGGAAACAATAAACACAAATGTAATTAAACCCTGTAAAAGTTGGATGGAGCAGTTTTCAAACAGTCTAAAGGAGTGCAAATGTAGCAACGAAACGATAACATTCCGCTGTAATATGGTGACATGCCTTTATTACAAAGTGTTTGAACATATTATTAGGGAGGAACACAGGAAAAAGCCACAAGTGTCTTTACAGGTAAACAACTTAAAGTATACTGTTATTCAGTTAGTACTGTTTCTTTACAATAAATTACTATAATTGATAATAACATACACATGTCTTTCTTTGACTGGCATAATTCAGTATTATGGGATACATTTATACAAGTCTTACATAGATTGCATTTATTTAATAAACAGCCTACCAGCATTGATAGAATAATTGCAAAAGTAAAGCCTTACGTAATTGAATTATTAAAATAAGCATATACCATAGAATAGCTTATAATATTACATTTGACAATTGCCATATTTACAGCAAGTCAAGTATTAATCTTTTAACAGTTATTTAAAATCATATTGTTTATTTTAGATTCTTCTATCACAAGAAATGTATCAGTTGACAGTATATGCTTGTTGTACAGAGGTAGTTTTACATGCATATGGAGTGCATTCCTTGCGTTTTCCGCGAGTGTTACAGATATATGGACTTAGTGCATTTCACTTTTACAAGATCATAGAACTTGTTGTGCAAGCACTTGTGGATAAATTGAGTCGGGATGTTATTAAGCATCTTAATGCTGTAAGTATATTCAATTCTCTATAATTAATGTAAATAATGTGTACATTTTATATATTTATTATAATACCAAGGTGATGGAATTCATTTTTTTGTTTTTTTTTTTTTTTTTTTTTTTTTTTTTGTTTTTTTTTTTTTTTTTTTTTTTTTGTTGTTTTGTGTGTGTGGTTTTTTTTTTTTTTTTTTTTTTTTTTTTTTATTTTTTTTTTTTTTTTTTTTTTTTTTTTTTTTTTTTTTTTTTTGTTTTTGGGGTTTGGGGTTGTGTTGTTGTGTTTGGGCTTTTTTTGGGGTTGTTTAGTTTGGTGTTTTGTGGGGGTATGAATTTAATTTATTATTTTTTTAAAATTGGGGGGTGGGTTGTTTTTAGCGTTTTTATTTTTGGTCCTTGTGGGGTTGTGGGCTATGGATGTTGAAGAAATTTTGCATTGAATTATATAAAATAATTTATTTATTTAATTGAAGTAATAAAAGATAGCACCAGGAGCTAAAATAGACTCAAAAAAAATTATGTTTTATTCAAGATGTTAATTGTTTCCCTCAGTGCAGGAAAATAGAATTTACAAGAAATAACATTGGTTATATTCAAAATATATTCTTCAGCAGGCGAGAGTTATGTGCAGATTAAAATAACTTTTTGTACAAATAATGTCCATCAGCCACTATGATAGATTGTAAAGAATATATAGTGAAACTTTATCATATTTCCCACTTGCATCTAATGTAGATTTGGATACAACAATCGCAGTTATATCTAGAGATTGAAAGAGTCTGCATTGGCCAACAATTCAATATCGCACATACTGTCAAATGAATCATGTGGTTAGGACTGATAAAAGTGCCCAAATTTTGTGCATGAGGGAAATTAAAAAAAGCATCAGAGTTAACAACAGCTAACATTAATGTTAATGTTGTTTTTCAATGTTAGGTAGAAGAAGAAGTGTTGGAATCACTGGTGTGGACGTCTGACAGTCCCCTCTGGGACCAACTCAGCAAAACACCGGTACCTGCCTCCACTGAAGTATATGTACAGGAATCTCCACATTTTCGTCGTAATATAGGTAAGTAAATAATCTATATATTAATATGTGAAGTTAAAACATTTCCCCTTTTTTAACATTTTGCACGCCCAGAGGAGTCTGAGATTAGTTAAAGTTTACATGGAGAAGGAGTGCACAAAGCTAAAATTTATATGTATTATGTGTCAAATACAGTAAATTAAATAAAATATACATTGTTTACATTCATACTGACATTGTCAAAAACTTAATGGTTTGTGGTCACAATAGCACAGAGTAGAGATTGTTGAAATGTTGCCGACAAATAATCACCGCTTTATTTCAGTTAATTTTAAATGTTCCTTTTTCAACAGTTAGTGGAGTGTATGTAATGTGTTTTTATGTGCAGTTGAAAGTAAAATACAACTTGCTTAATTTACAAACTTAAAAATTCAATAAATTACAATCGAATTTTGACAACTAGGCGACCACTAGCATATAATATATATTATTATCTTAATTCATATTACCATCGTATTTGTTTGTAAATACCTTTTATACAAGAAGACTTACAAGGTGAGGTTAAGTAAATTAGAACCTGGAATGAGAGAAGATCCAAACAATGCCAGAAAAGTAAATTGTTCACTTAGTCACATTAAAATCAAATGACAGTTGAATAGTTTGTTATTAATAATTATCATTGTAACCAAATCAAACTAAAATCATCGAATCAAAAATGAAGTTGCTAGAATGGGTAAAAATATGACCTAATCAAAGGTGTATTATTTATTTATCATAGAACAGTGAAATAACAATATTACTAAATTTATGTATTTCCTCTGGTGTTGGGTATGATTTCATGTTATTCCTTTTGGTTACAAATTTACAGCAAGCCAAATCTATAAAGCTACTCAATAAAAATATAGTTTGTATATTATTCGTACAGGTGGAATGCAATCGCCTGTTTCAGCTGTGATAGACCGTTATCTCGCGCCAATAGCAGACCAAGCAAAAAAGCAGCTCTTCAAAGACAACATCAAGCCCGGCCAGTCATTACTAGGTTTGTGTTTTGACCACTTGCTCTGCTTAATATGTTTACTGAATTTTTATTTCACTGGGCCGATTTTTTAATTCTCAGCTAATATTTATTCATGGAATTAAAACTTACAGTTATGATGTCAAATAGAGCGACATAATCGCATTTTGATTGAGCTCTTCAAATAAAGTTATAAAAAAATACTTACAGTTGCATAAATTAAATAGATTAATTGTGTCACTTTAATTTCTATTCAGTTTGTAATGTATTTGATGGATAATTTTTATGTGAAGATTGAAAATTCTACTCTTATCAAATTTAATTTGGAAAAAATATATTTTTTTAATTCAACAGTACAAACAAATAATGTCACAATAAAGCAAGACCCTGCATCTAGTCCTCCGCAAAGCACGTCAAATGGAGAGACGACTCCAAATTCGACGCCCAAGAAAGCACACAACTCCTTAATATTATTCTTCAGAAAGGTATGTGTTTTGTTTTCGTACCTCGTTACTACAGTACCCGGCTATAAATATTGCACGTCGACCTTTGGAAAGAGACAATCAGCTAATTTCGGCTTCGTAGAGCGTTATCTCTGTCGCACACTACCTATGTGACGTTTTGACGTTCGAGCTAATAGATACCGGACTGTTTGTATTTCGTGCGACAGAGATAACGCTCTACGAAGCCGAAATTAGCTGATTGTCTCTTTCCAAAGGTCGATGTGCAATATTTATCGCCGGGTACTGTAAGTTTTCTTCTGAGGACTTAAAGGTACATATTTGAGATTAGGTAATTGGCAATATTTTCTCGTTGTAAATTATAATTTTGAGAATATTGCCATACCATTTTCAATCGAAAATAATTTTATTACAATAAAAGCAAAGAAATTATTAAATTTGTTACAAAAATAAAAATGAACTGACCTGAAAAATATATCAACAACACACAGATTTACTTATTCTGATAGTTGAGTAAAGCTTATGTAATAGTATAAATAGGCGGAAAACTTTAAGATTATTTTTCTTCTTCTTTTTTTGTGGCGGTTTGATAAAATTCGCCGATGACGTATTGAGTGGAAAATGAAAGCTTATGAGTTTAATTAAAATAAGAGATTATTGTTAGAAAAAATATCAGCATATTTTTTATTTCAGTTTTACAGCTTGGCAGTTGTGCGTATGATTGACTTGTGCACAAGACTGAGGCTCACCGACGAGGAGTTGAAACGAAAAATCTGGACCTGTCTGGAGTACTCCATCATACACCAGACTCAACTCATGAAAGACCGACATCTAGATCAGATACTCATGTGTGCAGTTTATGTTATCTGTAAGGTGAGAGTATAATACTTTTTATTCAATATACATAACTGGATAATAGAAATTCATATATTTTTTTACCAATGGTTAGAAAATAAAAATATTATAATAGAATAGAAAATGAAACATTATAATAGAAAATGTTCTTAAAAATATAATTATATTTGTTGGTCTTACTTTACTTTGGATATTCTTAGTATCATTAAATAATATGAAATTGATAGTAATTTTAACTTTCCACTGAATAGAGAATACTTTCTTTTTTACTTAATATAATAAGCCAGTGCTTGACTACAATGACTGGGTGGCAAGTGGTGTTGAAGCCCTAGATGAATGGCCTAACAAAATCCGGTTTACTCTTGCCTTGATGGCACTCAGATTGCAATCGGATGAAAGACAGTCACCGGCAAATTATTCCACTCCAAACAAACAAACCATTGTGTTCAAATGCTGGAATATTGACAGCCTATAGCCTATTTTAACAATACATTATAGGTATAAATTTTGTATCTCAGTCCTCTGTTCTTCTGTGGATACCTCAATCAGATTTTGATGGGGTCAGCATGGAGAACTACGAGTTTGTAGTGTGAAGTTTATCGCCATGCTTGCCGAGTAAATAAGTAATGTTTTGTTATTCCAGGTATCAAATAGTGCAAACAATCAAGTTGAGAGAACATTTGCGGACATCATGAAATGCTATAGGCAGCGACCTTTAGCCGACAATCATGTATATAGATCAGTTTTAATTAAACCAAGTACAGGAGAGAGTAAGTATTTATAATTTTTTTGACAGGACAGACAAATGTAAAGTGTCTTATTCTAAAATATAAATATATATGAATGCACATAGTGCATTCCGCTGAGGAATGAGTATTTGGACTAATTTCAGACTAATCCTTAATTTACAATGAACCCTGATTCTAAATGTGATAAACAATCACACATATGCATCTATCTTTGATTGAGAATCTAAACCCCAATGTTACCATCAATAACCATCATTATCCGTTAGAAGTAAGATAGAATGTCTGTATTAAATTAAATATAAATTGTAATCAGTAAAAAGGTATCCATTTCTCATCCATCACCATATTATGTGACTGACAAGAAATATAGTTCAGTATAGTTCCCGGCACAAGTCATGAGCACAGATGAACTGTGGTGGGGGTTGAGCCAGCATAGGTACACTGTCAGTCAAAATTATTGGGTTCCTTTATTGTTTCAATTGGTAATTGAATATCTTCGCCGACTTGAAAATGTTTACCTGAATACATAAACTTCACTTTGATACAGTACTTGCATATATTCGTGACCATTATTTTATTATCTACTATATAATATTTAATGTATACCCATGTCTGTAAAACTCAATCAAACAATTTACATGTGGTTAGAATTGTATATTTTAATAAGACGAACTAAGAGGTGATATACCTTCCATAAAATCTAAAGTTACGGTGCTAGTAGAGGCCCCTTCATCTTCCAGTTCATCATCATCACCATAATCTTTGTCGTCAACCTCATCGTCCGAACTAGACTCAGAGTCATCATTGCCCATTTTAATGATAAACTCCTCCATTATTTGATCAAAATACGACTAAAAATTCTGAGTCGTTAACTCCCTTAACTATACATCTTTAACTATAGCAGTCTGTTTATAAACGTCTATCGTGTTTTTTGCAATACCTATTTTTTTTTATGTAACAACACTCAATAGACTATTTTTGCGGTTGTCATGTTATATTGAATTCCTTCTTATATGCATAATTAGATCAAAACTGAACACTAAAATTATAACAACGAAAACAAGAAGTAACAAAAACAAATAAAAACCAGAAATAGCAAATAAATTAACAAGAGCTAATTAAAATAATTATCAAAAATAAACTAATTAAAAAGTTGTCACTAAAATTGCTCTCAAGTGCACGGTAGCCGAATGATACGCGGGAACCCAATAGACGACGACCATCGACTGACTAACGATTCACGTTGAGCATCAGCGTGGTCAACGTCATATCGACAAATAAAAAGTGTGCTCACGACTCGTGCCGGCGTTTATATTTTACTGTTATTTTACTCTGAATTTCTGTGTCTTGTGTTCAGTTCGTGCTGTAACCATAACTTACTGCAGCAGGGCCCCGCCACATAATATAAAAATAAAAAGTACATACAAAAACTTTGCATTGTAATGTCATGATATTTTACATTTATATCATTCATTGTTACAGATTCACCAGAGAGAGGAGATTTAATCAACTTTTATAATAAAGTGTATGTACAGTGTATGCAGAATTTTGCTCTAAGGTTTACTGGAAAACATAGAGATGTGAGTTACCTAGCTATCTCAGATAACACTATTAATAAACATAATGCACTGCAGCAATGTGTAAACAATCCGTTGTTGTGCATGAATGACATCATCATATTTTACGGCTCTTATCAATCTAAAAATATCAAATAATACATAAGAACATATCATCATAATATGCAACAACACCTGCTGTAGGTAAACATACCCAAAACGATTGCAACACGAAATTAAAAGTCATAATTTTTAATCCTTCGTCTACAGTATCTGTATTGAATCACTCTTAACACAAGTTGTTTAAGCTTAACTGGAATGGTAATATGTACATTAGTCCTTTCAACCGACGAAAAAACGGAGGAGGTACTCAAGTCGACGCGTATATTTTTTTAAATGTATGACCACGCATAACTTTTTAGAGAGTAGTCCGATTTTGATAATTCATTTTTTATTGGTAGGATTATATTATAACTTAATAGCTAAATTAAAGTAAGTAGCTTTTTTAAAAGTAATCAAAAATTAAGCATGTAGTAATTAGTAGATTATAGCCACAAAAATTATAAAATAAAAACTTTTTAACAAAAAAATTAAACCGCCGAATAAACTGAAAACACTGACCTTTTTTTATAGAAGAGGGGACAAACGAGCGTGCGGCTCATCTGATGTTAAGTGACTACCGCCGCCCATGATCAACCGCAACTCTAGGGGAGGCAGATACGTTGCCGGCCCTTTAGAAAGGAGTAAGCTCTTTTCTTGAAGGTCCCCAGGTCGTATAGGTCCGGAAAAATCGCCGGTGGTAAACTATTCCACAGAGAGGTTGTACGTGGAAGAAAACTCCTTTTGAAACGTACAGTGGTGGACCGCCAAGCATCCAGATGGTGTGGATGGTATCGGGACGTTTGCCGCGTAGTGCGTTCATGAAATTTGGCGGCTGGGATTAATCCGAACAATTCCTCAGAGCACTCCCCATGGTATATGCGAAAGAAAATGCAAAGAGATGCGCAACATCTCTTCGCAGCGCCAGTGAATCGAGCCGATCGGAAAGCACACGGTCGTCGACGATTCGAGTCGCTTGCGCTGGATGCGGTCAAGTGGAAGCAGCTGGTACTGGTAAGCCCCAGCCCAGAGCTGGGAACAGTATTCCATGTGCGGCCGAACCTGCGCCTTGTAAAGTTGCAGGCGGTGTGCCGGCATGAAATACTGTCCCGTTCTGCTGAGCACGCCTAGCTTTTTAGACGCCAATTTGGCCTTCTCTTCCAAGTGACCACGAAACTGCACGTCACTCGATATGTCGACGCCGAGGATTCCGATACTGGCTGAGGTAACAAGGGGGAGTGCCTTGAAACTGAGGAGATACGACAAAGGGGTTCTTTTTAGCGGTTAACGCGCAAACTTGTGTCTTCTGAGGGTTAAACTGGACTAGATTTGGTCGCCCCCGATCCGAGACTCGTTCAGCAAAGACTCGACTTCAGACACAAGTTTGTCCCGGTACTCGGAGACGTTTTCCCGAGAAATATTAGCACGGCCGGTGTACAGAGCATCACCAGTGCTGTCACCTGCATAGCAATGAATGTTACGGGTTTGCAACATATCATTGATATGCAGAAGAAACAGCGTTGGCGATAGCACGCAGCCTTATGGAACACCAGCATTAATAGGCTTGTAATCGGAACTTGCACTGTCAACAACGACCTTGATGCTTCGATCTGCAAGAAAGCTGGTGATCCAATCGCACAATTTCTCGGGAAGCCTATAGGAAGGGAGCTTCGAAAGAAGCGCTTTGTGCCAAACCCGATCGAAGGCCTTCGCAATGTCCAAACTAACGGCCAATGCCTCCCCCTTGGACTCTACTGCCTCCGCCCATCTGTGAGTTAGGTAGACTAGAAGATCACCAGCTGACCGACCACGGCGAAAACCGTATTGGCGATCACTTATCAGCTGGTGATCCTCAAGGTACCTCATGAGCTGGCAGTTAACAATAGACTCCATTGTTTTGGAGAACAAGGAGGTGATGGCGATAGGCCGGTACGCAGCGGTCGCCTTTTTAGGGATCGGGTGGACGAAAGCCGTCTTCCATGATTTTGCGAATACGCCTAAGGAGTAGGAGTACCGGAAAAGACGCGTTAAAACCGGTGCCAACTCTGGAGCACACGTCCTCAGCACAATTGGGGGATTCCGTCAGGCCCACTCGAGTTGTGGATGTCCAGGGAGAGGAGTGCTTTGCGAACCGAGCGCTGTGTGAACTGGGAGCACTTACACCGCAGGATGGTCGGCGGCGTACTCCCCCCGTCATCGAGTCGAGTTGGACGCAAAGAAAGAGCCCAGCAGATCGGCTTTCTCCTTTGCGGTATGGACCAGTGAGTCGTCCTCCCTGTGCAGAGATGGAAGAGATGGCTGACAGAAATTCCCTTGGACAGCCTTGGCGAGAGACCAGAACGATTCACGATTTCAGCGTGAGTGGCACCACACTCCGGACAAGACAATGGTCCGAGGAGCCTAAAGGGGCGTCGACGGAAATCTGATATCCGTCGGGGTGAGAGGTCAGCAGAAGGTTCAACAGGGAAGGTGCATGATCCTCCACATCTGGAATCCGCGTAGGCAAAGTTACCAGTTGTGTCAGACCATATGCCAAAGCAAAATCATGAACAGATCTCCCCGCATGATCGGTTAAACGTGAACCAAGCCATTCGGCGTGATGGGTGTAAGTCGCCGAGGATCACGATCTCTGCGGAGGGGATCTGCTGTAGCAACGAATCTGTAGCCATTTGGACGTGGTCGAAGAGTCGGTCTGTTTCGGCATTACCGCTATGGGACCTATAGAGGCACCCGTAGACGCGCGGATGGTCGTCGCTGTCTACGCGTAGCCAAAGGATGGACAGGTCCAAACCTTCAAGACTGCCGAGGCGTCGAGAACAGATGTTCTCTCTGACGTAAACGCAAACTCCAGCCCGAGGCAAAAAGGAGTGTTCCAGTTTGTACCCCGGGTAGGAGAGATACGAGAAATCAGCCGGAGAGGACACCTGCGTCTCGGTCAGAAAGAGCAGAGCCGGCCTCGCCGTCTCGAGATGGTAGTGGACGGCGTTTAGGTTAGAGTGAAGTCCTCTGATATTGCAGAAATTCACGGATAGCGTGGCAGGGGTCGCCTTAGTCATGTTGCTCCGTTTGCCCCGAGCAGTTGTAGTCTTGAGCGGAATTTCGCCCCCCCCCCCCCAGAATACGCGGGGCAGCCTGAGCCCCCACGCTCAGGAGTGGAGAAACATGGTCGTGGGTGCTCAGCGAGGGATTCTCCAGGGGTGCTGGTACCCTCCTGGGGTAGTCTATCATCGTTTAATTCCGCTACCATGTTGAAATGGGGGGGGGGGGGATTTGGGCCTCCGGCCACCTGCACTCACCAGACGAAACGCGGAAGCAGAGCTTTCACTTCACGCCGGTATTCTGTGAGGTCGTGGTACCACCCCGGTTTGAGCCGGCCCATACGTGCAACAGCAAAACTGACCGCGTGGCTCTACCACTGTTAAAAATTTGACCTCTATATATACAAGTATGCTAGACTGGCTATAAACCGTGACGTGATGAGGCAACTTGATTTGCGCCATTTTGGCGCTGACAGCAGAAGTGCACGTCCACGGAACTAACAATAGGGATAAGACAGTGTGACGAAATATATCGATAAAAATTCTATACCCTACCTATACCTAAATAAATAGAATGAACTCTATGGATAGATGGACTCTACCCGTAACGTCCACTCTATTTATGCATCCTATTAATATAATGCCAATATCATTCATCATTATTAAAACCCTTCACAACTCCACTGCTGAACATAGGTCTCCCCAAGGAATGCCACAAAGCTCAGTCCTGAGCCACCTGCATCCAACAACTTCCTGTATGTCTTACCAGGTTTTCACTCCATCTAGTGGGGGAACTTCTTACACTTCACCTGCCGGTACGAGGATGCCACTCGAGAACCTTTTTTCCCATCGGTTATCGGTTCTTGAGCCGGTCAATTGCCACTTTAGCTTACTAATCCGTTGGGTGATGTCGGTCACTCTGGTTGTACTGCCGATTTCCTCATTCCTAAGTTTATCCTCCTAAGCTTTCCAGCTTCGGCAGTGCCACGTCTTCTATGCGGGGCTTGACATATCGCAATCCATGGGTTCTTAAGCGAACACTTAATTGCTTTTGTCGGTGTATGTTGCGCAAGAGGAAGCTGCCAAAAACCGTGAATGTAAACGGTGGCCAGAATTTGTAAATAAGAAATAAACTAAAGTAGGGCCACTACGAAGTTAAAGCGCAAATTAAATCTTGAGACTCGAGAGAGAATTGAATCTCTAGACTTGCAATTACTAAAACCCCATGGTGTTCTACCTCTGACTCCACCTGCACTACGGATACCCAAGCCCGGTATGTGAATGGAGCCAGGAAAAAACGAGCACTTGGATACATCAAGTGGTGCAGCCTCACCAAAGTCGCGAAGGATAGTCGAGTGGCATCGTATCGCCAATCGCCATACCAACCCTCCTCTTCTCTGACGACTCCACCTCGACTACAGCGGTACAGGGAGACGAATCTCCTCTAGCCGCAGCCTACTAACACTCATCCAACGTGGCTCAACATCATCAGGCGACCTTTCGACACTTGGCTATGAACCTTGAGTTTGTGGAAAAATTAAGAAAGAAGAAATAAAAGAAAACATTCGAAATAATAATCTAATACTTTTATACTTACTGGTACTGGTACTACCAGAAAATATTGTCGGAATACTGCACTTTTTCAAAGTGGTGCAGTTCTCATGTCTAATAAAACAGTCGTCTGTGAAATGTTCAAACCAAGTATGATCATTTTGTTTTGGACGCTAATTCACAATATTTATGATTTTAAACCATAATTTTAGTCTACATTCAGTTAATAATTAATTAATAAACATTTGATAATCATTCTGTTATTGGCGACTTTGTTTGTTAACAGATATGGGTAGGAAAGAACATCGATAAGTATTATAGACAAGGAACTCGACAACCCTATTGAATTTTATTGTTTATCAAACTCAATAATATACAGCCAAACATGTTGGTATGTATGATATTAAGATTAGTAACAATTTTTAAAGTATTTATATTATCAAATAGTTTTAATTTCTTTAATATTAGCTGCAAATGCACTTACTTGTCAAATGTTATACCACTTCCCTTTTGGTAACGAGTTTATTACGCACACTTATTATTATTAAAAATAATTCTTAATATTTTTTTTTTTTAAAATATTTTTTTTTTTTTTAGGTTTTTTCCTGGGGTTGGGGTAACTAATATTATACAGAACCAAACAACATAAAATTCTTTAGTTTTTTAGTTTAAAAGTTCAAAATACAGATTTTTTAAATAGGATTTACAAATGCCCCAATGCGTGTTAAATACGACAACAGACTTTGGCATATTATGTCAATATTAGTTTCCGAGACATCCGTTAGGGGTGCTTCAAATTGGAACAGACATTTTGGTTAGTATAGCCAGTCCAGCGTACTTGTATATATAAAGGTCAGTGACTGAAAAGCAAAAAATAATAAACATTTTTCTTTTACATTAATAACTAAGTTCTTAAGCTAATGTAAATGTACAAATTTGTATTTTTATGTTTTATTATAATGGATTTCCGTGTAAGTGATTCTATCATATGCATATTAATGTAAGTATACCTAAGTAATTTTAAGTCGGAGCCAAACCATCAATGAACAAAAGTCAATAAATTACCTTAAATTAAAAAAAAATCGAATCAAATTTGTTAATTTGATTGCAACGTAAAATCTTCAGCGATAAACATTAACATTTCAAAAAATACACCTTCCGCACGAACGCTAGCAACGACGTGTGCCCTCACATGTACCCATTCAGGTTGTTGTCTCGCTGACATTAACTTCGTGAAAGCTCGGCATTTTCCGGCGAAGGGGCATGTCTTGCCGCGCATCACGCTGTATGTAATTAATTAATTTGCTTGCTTGTGGTTCGGCTTATTTATTTCTAATCGAATTAATACAACATATAATTAATATTACAATAATAGTAAGAAACAAAAAGCCTTACATTATCCTAACAAATTAACTTCCCAACTATTAAATCTGTCAAACATTTCACCTCATTCCAAAGTGTTGGATGTCCTAATTGCCTCTTACTATGGATGCAAATTTAAAGAGGAAGTAACATGTGTGCAGGAGTGCAGCCTGTCGCCGCTGCCGGCGGGGCGCGGCGACGCAGCCTACTCACCGGCCGGCCAGCGCGTGTCAGAGCGCCACCAGCTGTACGTGAAGCCGCTCACAACGCCGCCGCCCACACATCACCACCTCACCTACCGCTTCAGCGCAGCCCCGTACGTGAAGCCGCTCACCACGCCGCCGCCCACACATCACCACCTCACCTACCGCTTCAGCCGCAGCCCCGCCGGCTGTACGTGAAGTACGGCTGGTACTTCGCAGCCCCGCAAGGACTGTACGTGAAGCCGGTCACCACGCCGCCGCCCACACATCACCACCTCACCTACCGCTCCAAGCCTATATATATGATACTATGATAATTTAAGTTCACTTAAGCTCAGGGACTAAGAACTCGTATAATCAAATAAACTCTGTCAAGTTTAGCTTGATAATTTACCACGTTTTCAGTGGTGAAGGGAAAATATCGTGGCTGAATCTGCATGTGTATGCAAAGTTAAAAAAAATATATATTTTTAATATAATATGTGAAGTCCACCACTACATATTGGTGAATATTTACTTACCCTAGTACCCTCTCAGAAATGAGAGGAGTCCCGTGCTCAACAGTAGTATATAGACTAACAAAGTGCTCATTAAAGTGATTGTATATTGATGCGTAATGGTGCGTTTGTTGCAGGACCTGCACGCGATCAACACGCTGGTGTCGTGCGAGGTGGGCGGCACGAAGCGCGGCGCGGAGGCGAGCGACGTGGTGAAGAGACCGCGCTGCGCCGCGCCCGGCGTCGCGCGCAAGCTACAGGGGCTCGTCAGCGACCGCCAGGCCGTCTAGAGGTGCGTGTGCACTGTGCAAATGTGTGCACTGCGGGGCTCGTCAGTGACTGCCAGGCCGTCTAGAGGTGCGTGTGCACTGTGCACGTGTGTGCACTGCGGGGCTCGTCAGCGACTGCCAGGCCGTCTAGAGGTGCGTGTGCACTGTGCACGTGTGTGCACTGCGGGGCTCGTCAGCGACTGCCAGGCCGTCTAGAGGTGCGTGTGCACTGTGCACGAGTGCGCACTCCGGCGCTCGTCAGAGACCGCCAGGCCGTCTAGAGGTGCGTGTTCACTGTGCACGTGTGTGCACTGCGGGCTCGTCAGCGACTGCCAGGCCGTCTAGAGGTGCGTGTACACTGTGCAGTGTGTGCACTGTGCACGTGTGCTGCGGGGCTCGTCAGCGACTGCCAGACCGTCTAGAGGTGCGAGTACACACGCATCTGCGTTTTGATTCTTAATCGAGGATTAATTTAGATGTTTATGTCGTGCTCGTTTGTCATCCTATCCTATAAAAAAGGTCATCGGTCGTAAGCGTTCTGGAATTCCCCACAGTCGCATTTTACGTAATATAGTAACAGACAGAGTGAATACGTAATTTAGTAATAAATAACTTATCACTTCTCTTTGGTCTAAGCTAAACATGCGCTAACGTTTTGATTCTAGAAATACTAACAATGGTAGAGCCACGCGGCAGCTTTTGGTGTCGCACGGATGAGCCGACTCGAACCGGGCAGGTACCACGACCTTACAGAATACCTTACCTTACTATACCTTACATATAAATTTTATAACAAACACCATATACATTATTCTATCTCATTCTCTCGCAGGCTGAATCCTATAGATGTATATGTTTGTCTCTTTTTAGTGTCGCTTTTTCGTTTCATAGTTTCGTGCACCGGCTTATGACCTCTGGCCAGCCATATGAGTTTATCTTAGTTTACCGTGGTTAAAACGTGTTCTTGAAAAAAAATAGTTGTATAATGTGTCATCTAGATAATTTAATGGTTAAAATGAAACTTTTTTTTGTTTGCAGACTAAATCATCCTGGCTGTCACTTGGATGGAACACTCAATGGATTTAATTTTATAGTCATATTTATTTAATATTACCAAAAATTTGCTTGTGCTCTCTAGATGATTTCTTTAGTTCGCGTTCGTTTGTAAACCTTTGACGAATTTTGAATTTGAAATTTAAATCAATTTGTGTATAATCGAAATTTAACAAGTCACAATGAAAACAGCCTTTGGACTGTTAATTATAATAATCGGTGGCATTGGTGCTAGAGCAATTGTCAGGTGAAAAGTTCATTTGGATTGCACTGACAGTAATGAAGTATATTGATCTCATTTCTTATTTATGCTGGGTGTTTATAGTATTGATTTGCCATATAATGTTACTTGCTCATTGCTATTGTAAGTTTTAAGTTCTATTTTACATAGTATATGGTAATTTTAAAGGCTGTGGATCCTTCCTAATCCAATAAGCATATGAGCGGGCATTTTATTACTGCCCTTGTAGCCCACTTGCTACATTTACATTGTAAAATGACCAAGAGAATATTTCGTATAAGTGTATAATCATTTTTATATTTGTATAAATCACGACCATTTCGGCTTTTATTAAACACTTTATGACAAAAAATTTTAATAAATTAAATAAACTAAATATGTATTATAATTTCACGTTAAGGGTAGGTACCAGTTACCTAGTAGTAAGTTCCTCATGTTTAATGACTGGATTTTCTAAGTATTCAGTTGAAATATATTTTATTTGCTTCCATTAAATTTAATTATTTCTTAATTCGTAAGTGATCAGAGGTTTAAAATCAATTTTGTTTTAACATTAATCTAAATTAAATAATTGTATATTTCGGACATACCATTTTATCATGTATTCTTCATAGATTTTACAATATAGAATATAAAATATTACATACTCAAATATATTTTTTTATTTCCTTGACATAAAATTACACATGACTGAATTCTATTTAATATCTCATTGATTTTATTATTCATTTATTGTATTATTTTTATCCTGCTTGTTATTTCTTTTCAAGATTTCCTCAACGTGTGTAACTTAGAGCGGCCACATACAATTGGAATTTCATTTCGAAAAACCATTTCGGAATTTGAAACGGGTTCCTTTCGAAATTCCTAGTTATATCCATATACCGATACCACACACGTTTCCTTGTATCCACACGGAAACGCGTGTTTATCCATCCACCTTAGACGGTGTGGATAATCGAGATTCGTATATATTATTTTTCTTCCGATTTTCTCCCTCGGCTGTGTAAAGTCATTTATAGAAACATGATAAAAATTAACCCAAGATATTTAGTAGACCTTTATTATAAAAATGTATACATACTTCTTGTTTGAAAAGTCAACTCAATAAAAGTACTACCTCACAGGATTACAGATTTATTGGAATCTCGGCATGAACTAATTTAAAATTAAAGACAAACATTCAATAGTAAGGTTTTTTAGGAAAAACGCCCAATTCTTCGCTAACACATCTATTGTAGCACAGTAATTTAAAAAAAAAAAACAATTGCAAATGTTCATTAATCGACGAATTTATCCAGGATATCAAATAACTTCTACTCAACAATGAAACTCGTTTTGGTATCTAATTGCCTAGACATATTGCAGAATTTATAAATTACCTACGTTATTTAAATCGAGGTAGTTTGATTCGATTTAAATCCCCTACCTGTACCTACATCCGCGAGGCACCCAGGGTAACATTACATAACGCAGTAGGCAAAAATTCGATTTCTGAGTCGATTCGAATCGAACATACTTGAATCGATTAAATCGAAGATTAAAAGATCGATTTTAGATTAATCGCGACATTTTCACTGTTTCCAGAATTTGCGATTTTTTCTTAAATTGAACTTTTATAATTACATTTACTTAATGTTTTATGTATAATTACAGACTATGAGGCATTCCATCTTAGTTGACAACGTATATGTAGCCATCTTTGTTTGATGTTGTTAAAATTCACATCAGACTAGGCTGTATGGTTTCAGACCTTTGCCTGCCGTAATTGGCGAATCGTAAAAACTACAACTAGTCAACGTCCGTAGGAAAGCGTTAAATATGGGTGGCGCCACTGTGGCTACATAGGAGTAATAGTGTTCTGTGGTGGCTACAGTCTAAATTTTAAAGAACTTTTTTTATAATATTTTTGTTGCACAGACTCACCATAATTTCGTTTTATTAGACACAATAATTATTTTATTGCTTTCAAAATCAGAGCGCTGTTGTGGAGTTTTTGAACTGTTATTTACTGCTCACAGATGGACACATTTTCAACTATTCTCCTATGGGAAATTGTCCTCCATACCTCTATACTCCATGAGGAGAACTATGGAGTGTAGAGGGATCGCTACGTGCTAAAGCACAGCCTGCCTGTCCCTGAAAATTTGTAGAATTTATAGCCGCGCTGCCGTTGGTAAGTACCTAGTATCTGTGATGTAATTTTTTATTGACAAGAAGAAACGAAGTGAGGCTCTGTCTACCGGACTCCCCTCGACTGCGCTACGGGAGAGAGTTGAGGGAGGGAAGCACCATGCCACTCAACGTAGTGCAGGGGAGGACACGCCGGTCGTCGGAGCCCCGCGAAGCGAGGCTCCTACTTCCGAATGCGTTATAAAATAAAATAAATAATAAGGTTAGTAAAAAAATAACCACGAAGGAGATAGCGGGTTTATTTGCTCCCTCATTCGACCCCGCCATCTGCTTCTAACTTAACCTGTCCAAGTAGGGATGTCCTAAGTCTCGAGCTCTCGTCGCTCGATCTTACACTCAATAAAAATCAAAATAAAAATTAATAAACAAACATTTTTTAATTTTCTTTCGAGTCGGGATGCCCTAAGTCCCGAGCTCGCTTCGCTCGATCTTAAACAATAAAAACTCAATAAAAATCAATACAAAAAATATTAAACAAATATTTTAATTTTTTTGTGTAGATTATGAAAAAAAAATAACTTCATTTGATTATTTGAAAAAAGTTATAAACAATTATACGTGAATGAGTACATTTTCATGAAGATTTAAAGCCTTGAAACCAATATGAGTTTTTATTTTTGTAATTTTTTCGTAAATCCGCCGTAATAATTAAGATTTAAAAAAAATCATCGAAAGCGGATGATTTTTCGTTTTTCTGCCAAAAAACGAGGTGACCGCGATAGTATAAAATTATCATATTCCCCTACAAAAATCATGTAATGTTATAGAATTAAGAGAAATTTTGGATTCCAAGCTCACAGTGGTGGACCATATAAACGACATAACAGAAATAGCGCGTAGAAAATGCTAGGTTTTGTATTAAGAGTGTGCAAATTTAGTGCGGATTAGTAAACTGAATTGGCAATTGGCCGGCCATATAGCTCGAAGAACCGATAACAGATGGGGAAGAAAGGTTCTCGAGTGGCAGCCTCGTATCGGTATCCGTAGTGTAGGGCGACCCCCCACTAGACGGAGTGATAACCTGGTAAGACATGCAGGAAGTCGATGGATGCAGGTGGCTCAGGACCGTGCTTTGTGGCATTACTTGCCTCCCTATGTTCAGCAGTGAACTTGTGAAGGGCTGTAATGATGATGATGAAGTGTTCAGTAACATCAAGTGCTATAAATGTCATTCACTTTGCATACGTAAGATGCTTACTGAAATATGCGAGTTGTATATGGTTTCCACAGTACGCTAAGCATATTCATGCCACCATCCAGAGAAGTTAAATTACCTAAACTTCAAAACGAAACAAAATTGTGTTATCTACGAATATAGCTGTCGTTTTTACGGAGTTCTGAGAACGGCGCGATTTTTTCGATTCGTTATTTTTGCATAGATTGATCACAGGTCAAATAGATTCTTCGGAGCTGCTATCGATGATATCGCTTAACGTACCTTCAAAGAACACTCGTCACACAAAGGTTTATTCCATGTACCTTTATCTCGTACCCGTTATTCATCAAAATCAATGCTGTCTAGGATACTACATAATTATAACACCAAATTTTTCGATATATATAACTCTTTAATTCGACCATGCATAGTTTTAAAGAAGCCGTCACGAAAAAGCTTATGTAACATCACAATCGTAGACAGAGAAACCTATAGACAAATTGACGCCTTCTTTCGCATTCGCACACGAAAAAGATAGATTTATGCATACGTCTTGCATAGAAATGAGATAGAGCGGTGTGATTGTTTGTCCCTTTGAAAGCGTAGCGATTTAAGGAGTTTACAAGTTGGTTTAAGTGAGAAAAAAGTGTTTTGTGAGCCTAAGATTGGTGAATCTTGTTCAGTTCAGTTCTTAGCACATTTAAATTTTTTATCTAAATGTGTTTAAAAGTCATAAAGATTATTGTATAACCTAAAAATTCGTTATCGTCCTTTCTCACTCGAGGCCACGCCGATCATTAGTCTATAGGTTTCTCTGTCTACGATCACAATATAGTCTCTTCTTCTTACTTACTTTGTCCCTTTATTTGTGGTCAGCTTTCCTCGTTTTTATGCGCCAAGATATTCTATCTTTAGTTGTTTGTATTTCAAGCTGTGCTCGTTCCAGATTCTTGGTTACGATCATTGATTTATATGTTACACTAGATAAGTAATTTCCGCGCCAAAGCGTTGTCACTTCACATAAGGCCACAGCCTTATACTCAGCGAACGTCGGTTCAGTGTTCAAGGTGACGCCGTCCGAGTTAAGCCGAACGATTCACAACAAAAAATGGGTAAATGCGTAGTGAAAGAATGCGTTTCAAGGTCACAAAAACATAATAAATCAAGCGGAATCACTTTCCATACGTAAGTTTTAATTTATATATTCATATTAACGTTTAAAACACTAAAAAATTAAATAAAATATCGAATATTGCAATTTAGGTTCAATGTTGCCACTTTTCCGCCTTTGTGATTTTTCCACATTAATGGGAGACTGTATAATTTATGGAATAAGTTAATTTTGTTTTAAAATAAACAAGTAAAATTGATTGCTTAAAAATAAAAACTATGTTTCAACCTTTATACAAAATAATTATTCTTATTTTATTTTATTCATGAATT